GCTGTCGCCGATGAGCGCGCCTTCACCGTTGGTGCCTATCGTCATGGCCCAATGGTCGGGGTGCGGAACAATACCAAGTCGTTTAAATATGTGACAAAGTTGCTGACTATATGCGCTAAGCTGCTTTTCGGAGATCTGCACTTCAGCACTGTCGGCCTTTTCTTCAATGTCAAAACGCATCGACGTAGAGATCGCAATAACTTGGCAGGGTCACTCAATGGGGTCGCCCCCATCAGTAACTTCAAGGGCGGAGCCATTCGCCTTCATCGACAGGACGGCCCTGAGGATCTTCACGTTTGCCAAGGCCCAGTTTTCTTCGATGCGAACGTCGAGCACGAGACTCTGGATCGGTGGCCCTAGACTTGTTTTGATTGCATTCACGGTGTCTTCAGTATCCCGATTAAGTGCCCAAAACATGAGCGTGCTGATTGATGCTGGATTTCCTCTGCCACTGCACGGTCCAGATTGCGCAAGCTTAACAAACCCGATTGACGCTCACACTACGTCATCTACAGCGACTTCGCCCGATGGCTTGGTGATAGATGCTTTTGCAGGTGACGCTGCTTTCGCGAAAGCTGAACAAAAAGCTGGCTTCAAGGTTCTTGCGTTCGACTTGAATCCCAAACGTGTCCAGTTTGCTGTGCAACCTTTGGACATAACCAAGCCTGAAGAGCTGCAGATCCTCAAAACACCATTATCGAGAACCAGAATACAATGGCTCTTCTGCAAATTTCGATGCCTCTGTTGGCCGCTTTCTTTTCTGAAACCCGTGGCTCAGCAGACTTCGCGGCTGCGCTCACTCAAGCGGTCGTGGACCACGTGTGGCCCGCCATGGAGTTCAATGTGAAGGTTGCCATCTTGCATCCATCCCGCTCTTCCTTCTGGGCAGATGAACGAGTTCGTCAACTGTTGCAACTAAGGTCATCCGTATCCACTTTCGACCAGTGCATGCACGGTGGCTCTCAAGAGAGACAGGCCACTTGGTGGAGCACCGACGAATGGATTTCGTCGCTTGCAGTGCGATGTTCTAAGGACCATAAGCATCGCTCACAGAGTCATTTGGATCCCACATGGCCACTTCTGTTCTGGCATCGAGCGGTGGACCTGCTCTGCGCTGCTACTGCTGGCACCGCCGCTCCTAAGCCTTTGTATGGGCCCACCCCTAGCACCTTAAGACCCGCCTTAGGCAAACAATCCAAAAAGGCCAGACCGCTCGTGAGCGAGCTCGCCCGCTATGATTGCTGGGCCGTGCCTCAGGAATCAGCCGCAGCTGTTGAATCCCTGCTTGGATGTTACTACAAAGGTGCTAAGGTCGTGCATCGCAAACTTGTCCCTTGGGGTTCCGTTAGGGTTTGCGTTTCCCCTTTCGTTTCTTGTGACAAGTTAGAGGCTTCTCTTACCAGCCGATGGTCATGGGCACTGAAGTCAGAAGTCCCGACGATTACTGGCTCAGATGATTCTCATGTGCACATGGTCGGCGGTCTCTTCGAACCTCAGAACTTCGTTGAAACCGCTGACTTGGTCTGGGTGGGCATCCCCTGCGAACCTCAGGATTTTCTTGAGAAAGCAATCGTAGCTGGACACCCCAAAGCTTTGATAGATTCCGAAGTAGACCCTCAGGTGTCGCTTCTCATCGACAATCTTCTTGAAAGCCAGGTTCGGTGTGCCGGCAAAGGTCTTGAAGCACTCGATGAATGGTCGGAACGGCGTACACTCCTTGAGGAGGACGAGGCTAAGTCGAGGAAGGCATGGCCCGAACATGTTGCCCAGGTTCTAGGTGATAAGGCCACTGTGCTCCTTGATGAGCTCCTTAGCACGTTCGACTTCCCTGATGCTCGCCTGGTGAAGCACATGACTCAGGGCTTTAAGCTTTCGGGTTGGCTCTGCAGGACCAGCGTCTTTGTTCCCGTCCCTAGGCCTCCCACTTCAACGTTGGAGTCCCAGCTTAAACCCGCCAAGGCGCGAAACCAAGCAACCATCGCTAAGATCACATCCCAAACTCCGGACGAAGTCTCCATGAAAGCTTGGAGCGAAACCCAGGAGGAAGTGTCCAGAGGATGGTTGTTTGAGGATTGCAATCCTGCGCTCGATGCGGTTCTCATTGCTCTGCGAACTCAAAATCAAAAAAGTCATTCTCTCTTTCTCTCTCTCTCTCTTTCTCTCTGTGTCCTCTCTTCAAACTGCATAGCATGTTTTGACCTGGACAACAAAGTCGGTGCTTTCTCACTTCGTGTTCAGAGTTCTGTGTTCCGTAAGCTCAGCATCCACACGAATCGGCAAGGGGGATGCCGTCGCAAAAAAGCGGGCGTGCACTGCATGTGCTTTGTTGTGAAAAGCCGAGATATAAGGTCACTCTACATCATGCCTCATATTTATGCAACACAACACCCCCTAGACCACTTCAACCGGCAAATTTCTTGTGTGTGCCTTCCAAAACACTTCTCCTGGAGTGTCGTTTTTGGAACGATCGACGATGAGGAAAACCCAGGGTTCATTGGCGTGGCGTACCAAAAAAGAGTTCGTGAAAGCCTCAAAAACACGCTTTTCCATGGAACCCTTGGGATCAGACCGTGGTGATTTCCAATTTTTTCGCAAACGTTCATCAGGCACGTATTCGATCCGAAAATTGTAAGGTGTGCCACCCCCGGGGACGGTAGGCTCCCGCTTAAGCCCGAGGCATTGTGCCAGACCAGGTACAGGCTGGAGTTGGGTGCAATTGGATGATGTACGGGGCAATGCTACACGTGGGGTGTATTGACGTTCACGGTTCACGGCTCTTGGATAGGTGTTTGAAAGTACGAGTGGTACAGGTTGGTCGAATGTGGGCGTGTGCTCATTGGACGATATTACGGCGGGTGTCGGAACGTGCCTGAAATTCTGCGAGGACGCCATGATTCCGTTACATGCGTATGGAAAGGCTTTTGTGCTGCATGAACCACCGTGCACGGTTTAGTGTGTTTTTCGGGAGCGCTGATGCCGTTTCCATGACACTTGGGCAATCCATGCAACAACCATAATTTTCGTGCTGCATGACAATAGCCACCATCATGTTCCGTTTATACCCGGGAACCTGAAACTTCAAGGAATGTCCCTCGTGCAGTGGCCATGAACGTTGCGGCATTGGAACTGGGTCCGCAGTTCGAAACTTAGTTGCTTCGCATGCAATGTTCCGACCCGACCATTATCTTACATTCCTTGGGACAGCTGCCGTTTCACATGGTTACATGTTTCGACTCAGGCCAGTTCTTCTCAGCAGCGGGCATGGTTGGGGGAATGCATATCGCTTAGTCAGTTTTGACGTCAGTGATGCATGTGATGTCGCGTCTTTGAGGTGACAAGGTTTGCTGGCTTGAGCTTGGCAAAACTTGCAGAGTTGAGGTGGCGAGACCGGGCCCGAGAACGGGTATGTTCGAGAGTATTTCCAGAATGTAGTGACGCAGATGTACGGTCGATGCAGCTCTGACATGGCTTCACCGCCTTAACGCTGGGACTGTCCCGCATCGTACTGTACCAGTGGGTGAGCAGGAGCATAGTTTTTCAATCAAGTTGTTGAATGCCAATGTGTCATGGCCGTTGAGGCAGCATTGCACCTCCAAGTCTTATTGGCCGGATAAGCCTGCCCATTAAAACATTGATTGGCAAAGTGGAACGAGCACAGTTAACACGGATTTTTCGTTTGTCTAGGTCAAATTGCACGGCGCATCGGCGCTGTTGCCTGTACCTCATGCTCGGAATGCTCGTGAAGTCCGTCTTCACCACGACCTCCAGGAAATATGCCCGAGCAGTTGCTTGCTTCTTGCTCTGAGGCGATGTCTGCACCGATTGCAAGAAAACCGTAAAAGACACTGTGTGAAACTGAGCCGTGCTGTGGAGTACAGTGTGACTGCGTGATTCGCTCCGGGTACATACAGTTGACCACACTTGGTGCTGAGGTCTGCTGTGCCTTCGGCATCGCGCAGCTGTCGAAGCTGTCAGCTCGGCAAAGCACCATGCTGATGAAACGTTGAAAAAGCAACGGCCTCAGGTTTTTCAGCATCCGCTGTCCATCTATTGTCGTTGCACGTATTTGCATCCACTGCCGGGATTTTGTGCAGCATCGGCTTTCCATGTCATCCGGACCTTTAGTCGGTGGTGTGAAGTATGAAACATGACGAAAGACGTCTCCAAGCTTCAAGTCCCAGGAGCCACATTCCGATGATTGCTTGGTGTTTACAATTCTTGTGATGTCGCAGGTGCACTCGGTTGTGCGAATAGTTTTTGTGGGTATCCCTTGCAAGCTGCCTCTCATCTTCACGACAGTGTTAGTGTGAAAGCTGAGACTGCGCATCATGGTGGACTCCTTTGATCTGGAGGCGACGCACTTTCAGATTCGGTCTACACGTGCATTTGAAGTCTAAGTGCATTCAGGATCGAGAGCCTCTAAGATTCGTGGACATTGGCAGATTCCAGGCAGTCATCGAGTTTTGGTGTGCCGTGAGGCTGATGACTCCGTGGAGGCAATTTGTCGCCAAGTTCTCGATGAGGCCTCCAAGAGAGCTGCAGCAATATTGAAAGCGGAGTTGCATGGGAGCGTGCCTTGAAGACGTGACTTAGCAGGACGATGAGACCACTAGCATGGTCCTGAAGCACTGAAAGTTTCACGCAGTTATGCTCGAGAAGCGCCAGTGAAAAACGAGTTTGATGTCGAACGAAGCGAGGGGTTGACTTGATTGACAGCGGTGTGCTGAAAGCAGCTTCGCCTGCGAGCTGCTCAGCTGCTGCAGATGTGCAAGTAGAACAAGAAGAAGGAGCACAACATCTACAATTGTATGACAAAAGTACGTGCTGATGTGAAGCCCTGACCTGGATGATGTCTTAGCAAACTAGGCAATGACTGGAGCCCTTTTGTTTGAAGGTGCTTTCTGTCACGAGTAAAGTTTCCGGTTTATGTGTTCGTTGGCGCACCGGCGGCTTTGCTGGTGGCACTGGGCTTAGACACACAGCGGGTCGGGATCCAGTTGCCGCAGACCTCCGAGATCACAGGCCTCGCCGCGGGCTGGCGACGTTTGCGAAATGGACTGGGAGGTTCGAAAAGATTCTCTCGAGTACTGCACAGATCGCAGCTGAGCGGAGCTCGCTTTGACACTCTTCAGGCCATTTCAGATGATGTGCTGTTGGGTAGCCCAGCATTCAAGCCAAATAGCTGTGTTACGGCAGCACTTGGGTTCAATGATTGCTTGGCTGAGGAGGGAAACAGATGTCGCGTACGAGCAGGAACTTCAAATCAATCCATACAGCGTCGCTCGCTGAGGGCATGCCTCAAAACCAAGCCATTTCATCATCTGGTCTTCAGCTGGCTTTGAGGTCAGGCTGTGGTGTGCTTATGTGAAAGCGAAGGCGATGGCACAGAAACGAGTTTCTCCCTACTTCTGACATCGTGCCATGATACTTTCCCTTGAGCTGCAAGTTGGCTAGGCTGAGGCACCCCGGGCAGTACGCTACCTGATTTACGAGCGTGCAGTGAAGGACTTCACCAGACAGTACAAAGTGCAAGCAACTTGCTCTTCTTGTGATGGAATGCCGTGCAGCAGGGTGGATTGAGATTGCACGTAAAGCCAAAGCATACCACGGTCATGTCATCATGGGGTTAGTTTGTCACCTCAGGCATTGCTTCGGTAAACAGCACAAAGCTTAGCACTCGACACCGCAAGCGAACTCTCCACAAGCGATGGAGAGAAACAGCCAGTGGAGTGTGGGTCGCGGTTATGGCAGAGGCATAAGCATATCAATCAGCAGACGGACATCGAACACTAAAGCTACAATTGAACGACGGACAAAGCAACAAGTTGTGCACCCGGCACCGCTTGTCGCCTATAAGCCAATTCGACAGAAACAAGCAACAGGATGACAATGATACACTTAAGTGAGAAGAAGACAGTCAGACAACTCAAGATCTTTTGAGATGAGGCAACTGCTCGCACGAGACGGCCTTGGCAATTTTCAGCATTGAAATCCACAAAACTAGACGGACTTGCTTAAAGTCTGTTCGCAAAAGGCTGATGGTCTCTTTTTGAAAACCTGTTTATCTCTGTTTGTACTACTTTCTCTTCAACAGTTTGCTCCTTCTATGCGTTCAGGCTTGTGACATTGGGTGAAGCTGCTAAGCAAACGATGCATAAAACTCATCCGTTTTGAAGCTCTTATGTCGGATCTGTTTCTACCGGTAGGATCCAGATACTCATCCAAGGTCGGAGCGTTCTTGCATTATTCGCAGAGCGGTTTCGAACCTGGTCTAACATGAGAAGCAACACCAGACTGCAGGGTTAAGTCCACAATTACAATTCATATCATTTTACCCACTAGTTCGTCATGATTTTAATGCCCAGGACTGGTTTATTGGCTTGTCAAAGATACAGACGGGTCTTTTTCACCGTGGTGTTTAGGGCCTGGTGCACGTATGTGCACGTCCGTCCCCAGGTTGCATTGTCCAAAACTACCAGATCGCAGTCAAAAACAGTGTTTTGCTGAAAGCTAAGGTGCCCTTGCTTGAGCTAAACGTGCAAATGCCTCTTTTTCTCTCCGGTTCTTGCATTTTTTTCCAAGCGCGCGGAAAGGCACGAGGTTGTGCGGGTAAGGAGGGTTTGTGCCTTTGAGGTGAATGTCTTGACACCGGCTAATGTCAGGCAGAGCGACGCTCTTCGGTCCTTTGGGAAAACCCTTAAGGAGAGAATAAGGAGGAGCCGTTGTTTTGGAGGGTAGGGGAGCAACGGACCGGCGTTTGATTCGATATTGGAGTGCCTCCCTTAAGATGATGCATACTCAGCAAGCATCCCAGCGTCTATGCCCACCAAGATTTTTGGCTTGGCAAAGAGGGAAAGACTGTATGAACACACGCGGCACTAATAAAGATAGAGACTGACAGAGATCAGGAGACTCAAGATCACAGCTCATTTGCCTGCAGACGGAAAGATGTTACATCTGTGATCTCAGGAGCTCCCCGGCTCGTACAAGCTGTGGCACGCTTACCTACAGTCGGAGCCCTGCACGGTGGGTGGGGGTCGCGGAAGCTTTGTAGCGTAGAGGTGCACTGCTCCGACACTGTAACTTCAAGCAGTGTCAGGTTACGCATGAGCAGCGTGGCGGTCTCGGACTAGTATAGCCACCGATGTTCGTATTGCGTGGGTGCACGTGCGAGCAGGTAAAAGGCTTATCAGTTCTAGATGCTGAGTACGAGGCAGGCCACACAACGGGGCGAGGAAAGACCGTGTGTGAGAGCAGTGGGAACGATGTGCTGGGCCAGGCTGCAAACAATGCCTTCGAGCGTGCGCTGGTGTTTCTGCACAAGATGCCGCGCATTTGGTTTTGGCCTTGGAATCTCTACGAGCTTATGTAAAGGTTTCGCGCGAGTAGGTCTCAATGGGATAGCAGGATACCCAAGCGGTCGGAGTGTATCGAGGCTTCGTTTCCATCTGCATTGGCCAGAATTGAATTGAATTGATATATCGAGCAACCCCCCCACTCCCCCCCCTCCCCCTTCCCCTGAGATGTAAGCCGCAGGAACACAGGCTAACGCAGGTGTCTCTTTTTACTACAGGCGCACAGCTGTAAATCAGTACTTTGCTAGAACCTTGAGCAACAGGCATGGATACATGCAAACGATACGTGAAACAGGCAGTAGCCGGAATGTGCCTTCAAGGCACCAGCAGTTGGTTGGCCCTCTTCGTTTGCGGCCGGGTGTAAACTAAACCCGTAAACCCACGGACTAAGGCCCTACACCTTTAGACCCTTAAGCCCGAACTCTCTGAACCACTAAGCCCATGTCCTTCATGCCCCAGTCGAGGCTGTCCACGAACTTGTCGGCCCAGGACGTCTTCCTAGGATCCCCAGAACAGACCTAGGGTCTGAGGTCTCACACTTGGGGCTTTCGAATTCCAAAAGACAGACATACGGTTGGCGGAGGTTCTGATTCTAGGGCTTTAGGATTAAGCACGAGTTTAAAGTTTTCCTTGCGAAGAGGGCTTAAGAACAAGGCTTATATCATTATTACTATTCTCTTTACTCTTGCCATTCTGGTTATTCCGTCTGTTTTTATTCATTTTGCCGTCGTGAATATGACTGTCATTATGATTATCACTAGTATTGCTATGATCAGTACCATCATTATCATCACTACCATTGTCATGAATACAATTCTGATGGTCATGAAAACTACGGTTACCCTTTCTCATTAGCATGCCTGCTCGCTGACATTACCAATATCATTATCATTATCATGATCAAAACTGTCACCCTCCTTACCATCACCGCTTTTTCCCTAAAAATATCAGGGTCATTAACATTTGAATGATCAATATCCCGCTGGTAATCATTTGTATTATTGCTATCATTGCCATTACCACGGTACTTGTCATCATCATTGTCGACATCACTATCATTACGATGCTTTCCACCCCCATGCTCATGAATATTGTTGACAGTTAACATTCTCATTAATATTGTGATTATGGTCAATACCACTACCAAACGCATGACCACTACCATCATCATCACAAACATCGCCGTCATGACAATCACCATTGTTATCGCCACTATTGTAATTATCATTATTGTCATCATCATCACCATCATCACCATCATCATCATCGTTACCCTTATCAGCATACCCATGATAACTATCACTAGTTTAGCTTGTAGTAGAAGTAGTATTATTCATGCTAACATGATCATCTCACTGAAAATGACACTAGCAGCGTTCTCGTTGTCGCTTTTATCCGTGCAAATCAAAATGTTATCGCCACTTCCTTTGCCATCACGACTATTGACTGACTTGTGTTATGCCGTCATCATTACCGTTATCACTACAACTATGATGGTCATAGCTAGTGATATTGCTTATAGATATGGCGTTTTTTGCTACCACTATTGCTTTTGTGATCATGAACCCAGTAGACATATATACACATATTCATACCTACTACATTTTATGCATATATGTGTATATGTATACGTGCAGCGAAAACAGGGAGAACACGCTATGCTGTAGTATTGCTAGCCTTGCAAACCTCTCACTCAAGCAAGGGTGACAAACAGCTAGATCACGATCACCCAGGGTGAGGGTTGTCTAGGTCGGGCTGCTCTGAATTCATTCAAAGGCTTACAAAGGCTTAGAGAGCTTTTGACGGCTGGACTGTACAGTTCCAAAGTTTGAGGGTCAGGGTTGGAGGGTGTATGCACAGCGAGGGTGGGTTCGTAGGCTTCAAGGTTGGGGGTGCAGGAGGGCTAAAACTTAGGGAATTGAATTCAGGAGTCTCATGCCGTAAACCCAAAAGACAATTCCTTTCAAGCTGGAGTGAGCGTAAGATCTCCGAAACAGGCAAAGCCTCATCGCTTGCGCCAGATCTTCGTGATAGCTCTCATCAATCCATTCCTGTGCTGAGGGCTTTGGGCTTGCGGATTAGAGTTTGGCGTTTGGGGTTCGGGTTTCGTCTAAGTCATTTACTGACTCTACGTCTTCAAGTTGAATGAGTTGAGGGAAAGAAGTTAACAGCATAATTTGCAGCTTTTTCGTATCGCCGCAAATGCTGGTAGCCGCCAGTATTGTCTTGCATTCTGCACTAAGCCAGTTTATGAACAATCATCTGCCTTCTCAGCTATTTCAGTGTATTTGTTTGCTAACTATAGCTGCTCGATTGCTCATATCGATACATGCCCGCAAGAACATTAGAGCTAAGCTCGCATCTATGCTTCTTCTCTGTTTAGGTGCCATGTCAAGACAAGTATTCGTCGCGGCCTCTACATCCCTAAAGCATTCGTTGTGAGGTTCAAGGAGGATTTGCCCAGCTAACTGTAGCCGCAGTATCTATACGTTGAAGATGCAGAGGCAGATGCAGATGCGCTTATGCTTGGAGTGACTGGCTTATTCTCTTGTATCCAAGCTAGAAATACCCTGAACCTCCTTCTACAGACCCATAACCAAACACCTACCTACATGAATATGATGACATAAATCATATTGCTTGCTTGCCACACTTCCCGCAATAAAACAGGTAAGTAGCAGTGCAGACGTAGTAGTAGTAGTAGTAGTAGTAGTAGTAGTAGTAGTAGTAGAAGACAACTACTGCTACTAGTAGCAGTAGTTGTTGTAACACCAGTAGCAGTACTGGTACGAGTAGTTGTGCTAGCATTGGCACTACATGTAAATGCAGAAATTGCAAGACACATGACGAACAAAAGACGCAATGATAACTGAGACTAATGAGAGCGGAAAGAGAAATATGTCCTGTTGCTTGAGTTGCTCTTGCTGATGTTGCTGTTGTCGTTGCAGGTTTTGCTGTGGTCGTTTCCGTTGGCGTTGCCGTCGTCGGTGCGGTGGTTGTTAATTGTCGATGATGTGGTTGGCGTTAAGGTCGTCGTCGTCCTCGTCGTTGTGGTTGTGATCGTCGTCGCCATTGCTTTAGCGCTTTTTGTTTCTGCTGCTGCTGGTGTTGTTGTGCCGGTGGCGGTGGTGATGGTGGTGATGGTGGTGGTGGTGGTGGTGGTGCTGCTGCTGCTGCTGTCGCTGCTGCTGGTGGTGGTGGTGGTGAGTGGTAGGATCAGCAGCAGCCGGAGGTAGATAAAGAAAACGTGCAGCAGTCTTGCTTGTCTCTGAACTTTGGTTCTATACCTCGACTTGGCAGGCTTCTGAATCCCTCTGAAAGTCAGACTGCCGACCTCCTCACGAGATGCTTTCTAGAACCAAAAAGTTAAGGTCGTAATTGCCAACCAGAAGAGAGACACGCAGCTTTGAACTGAACGGTTCTCGCCGGGGTACCCACGTGCCGAAGCACTCATCAACCTTGATTCAGACTCGGTTAAATGGGGAGTTTCCGAGAATAGGGGACCTTGAACACAGATACTGGGATCCTACTTAGTCGTCACAAAAAAAGGACGGTATTCAAGCCCCAAACTCTTTCTCGACAGGGCGTTTCTCTGGCTTTGGCCCCAGACACGTGGCGGTCGATGATCTTCCAGTTTTCGCTGTCCTGGGCTCTTCTAGCTTCGCGATGTAGTCTCGTCAAAGTGCTAAGATCAATTTGCTAGCCTACATGCCCAACATACATTCACAGAGATACCTGCGTGCCGGTGCACAGCCTCTCTTGTCTGATGTGTTTGCTATACTTGCTGAATAAGCAAGCTTATCCAGTTCCAACTAGCTCGCAGACAAGCCCCAGGGCGAGACCAATAGTTCGCTAGCTAAAGTCAATCTGAGCCTGCATGTGGGAGTTTCCGAAAGTAGGGGTACCTTAATTTGAGGGTCCTTATAATAAGGGTCCTACTATTTAGGGTACTATATTAGGGTCCCCTATTTTCGGAAACTCCCATGTGTCACCATCCACCCGGCTCCTGAACTGCTGAAGGGTTAAACTTCTGATACTCCGGCAGTGCATCCCAAACTAAAACCTGTAAGCCGTAGATGCCGGGGGTGAGAGGATCCTAGGAGCTCGAACACTGCGCTTGAAGGTTATACATAGTTCAGTCCCGATTCCCAGATCTGGAGATTAGCCTCGGGATGTTTTAGGGAGTATACTGCCCCAAAACAACGGTTGTCAGGCCGGGAGGCGGCCAAGCTTTTGCGCCATTCTGCAGCAGCTGCGCCGCTGATGCCACCTTTCCACTCCTGTGAGGACACCCTGCCTAATTCCCACAGCCTACACCAAACCTGGAATCCTCAACGCGGAGGCACGAACCCAAATACAACTCCAAACACCCGATAGTCACAACCCTGCAGACCTGTCAGCTGTAAACAGGGTGTACAAATCCAAGAAGTGCTGCTTTACTGTACTCCACAAAGAAGGTCAACAACCATCTAGGTTTCTGGAGATGGTTTTCAACATCTCAACCACAACGCCCACCTTGAGGTGTAGGGCAGGTAGCTGCCGAGACCCTTACCCACACGGTTGTTGGCTGATTACCTGGCTTATGAAGCCCTTGTCCTTGAGACTCCAAGCAGCAAAAACGGCTACTATTTGTAGGCTTTCGGCACTAATGTAGGTATTATGTTACACCTGGAGTCTTAGGGCATGTTCACACCTGCAGCAACTTGAAGAAATGCATGCCTTAGCCTCAGCTTGTCGATGAGACTTACAAGAGCGTCTGGCTATCCCGACAAAACCGTCAAGATCTCCAAGCCTCGGCACCCCATTCTCCACACCGGCTCGTGGTAAGGTAGAGGGAGTCCGGCACTACTCGCCCTTAATCGATGATACAACTTCCTGGGGCTGAGTGTAAAGTAGACCCGAGAACCCAATCCCTAGCCCTCACATGTCGAGCGTGCTCGCCTGGAAGACGTCCATCACTGAGTTTTCTGTGGCAAGGCCCGTCTCGCTGCTCTTAGCGTGGCTCTCTGACTCCTAGTGAAGCTTTGCATGGGGTTTAGGCGCTTCAAACACAGGATTAGGCTTGCGGGTTGGGGTTGAGGGTTGGTCTCAGTCAGGATAAGGGCATCTAAGATGGAGTAGGGTTAGAGGGTGCCCGTGTTCATGAGAGTAAGGACCTTTCCTGCTAGTAGGCATCACAGTGCAGCTCTGTTGTGATTTGGTGTCAAGTCAGTCGGGAGCATTGAGATCCGCGGCTTAGGGTTCCAGATTTCGCTTGACGAAAATGGGCCCTGACTTGCAGGACCATGGATCTTAGCTTGTTTTGAATGGGGTGCTTGTACCTACCCACCAGTCTTCAAGCAAACATCGTTCCCTGCCAGAACCTAAACTCTGAACCCTACATCCTAGACGGTTCCATATTAATCCCCTAAGCGAAAGACCCTATGGCCTCTAAATCCTGCTCTAACACCTAGCACCCGTCTAGTTTTCAAGAACACAGACACGTTATGTAAGCCGTATCACAAACCCAGAGACTGTATATACCTAGGATACAGTTCCTTGCCAAGTCTCCGATGTATCGTGGCTCTCAGTGTGTTCGGCGGAGACGCTGACATGGCTCCGGGGCCCGCCGAGCGCATTCCAGAGCAATCCTTCAGGTGAGGGTAGGGTTTAGGTCTAGGGTTTCGGGG